TTACATTGAGCGAGTCGTTTCAAGTAGCGGCTGTGATCGAGAAGCTGCCGCTAGGCTGGAAGGACTTCAAGAATTATCTCAAACACAAAAGAAAAGAGATGAGTCTTGAAGACTTGGTGGTTCGTCTTCGTATTGAGGAAGACAACCAAAAGTCATCAGGAAAAGTCCCGATGGTGGAAGCTCATGCCAACTTGCTGGAGCAAGGTAACTCGAGCAAGCGAAAGCCCTTCAACAATGTGAAACAGACTGCCAAGGTTTGGAAGTTCACTGGAACCTATTACAATTGTGGAAAACCAAACCATATGGCAAAAAAATGCAAGAGGCCAAAGCAGGTTGGGTCAAAGAAAGGGCAACTGAGTGCTCTTGTTGTTGAACAAGGCCCTATGCTGAGTAAACTGACCGACTTTGATATGTCGGCTGTGGTGTTTGAAGCCAATTTGGTGGATAACCCAAAGGAGTGGTACATCGATACAGGTGCCACTCGTCATGTGTGTTCTGACAATGAGGTGTTCTCTGAATACACTCCTGCTACGGGTCAGAAACTTCACATTGGAGACTCCTCCACGTCTGATGTGGCTGGAGTGGGCACGGTGGTGCTGAAGCTCACTTCTGGAAGGGAGTTGAAGCTGAAGGATGTTCTGCATGTCCCAGACATCCGCAAGAATTTGGTCTCCGGATCACTTCTTGTTGAGCATGGATTTAGGCTAGTGTTTGAAGCTAAGAAGTTTATTCTTAGCAAATATGGAAAATTCCTTGGTCGTGGTTATCTCGACAAGGGATTGTTCAAAATGAATGTAATGGTCGTGAGTCGTGTAACCGTTGATAATAAAAAGCCTATTTATGTTTATACTGTTGAGTGCTCTGATTTATTGCATATTAGATTGGGACATGTAAATCTAAATGCAATTAAACAGTTGATGAAATTAGAATTAATTCCTAATTCTAAAGTTGAGACATACAAAATGTGAAATTTGTATTGAAGCAAAAATGGCTAAGTTGTTTTTTCACTCGGTGGAAAGAAGTACTGAACCATTAGACTTAATCCATACTGATGTAT